ACGAATTCCCATCGACCAGAATGAGACAGGACGACCCAAGGACGACAGTGACAACAAAGGAGACGGTGAAGAAAGCCTACGCTACAAAGGAGCCCGTTTCCAACGAAAATTAGCCTCAAAAATGGGTATTTCGAGACGTTCGATGGGATTGGATTTCAGTGTTTGGAATTTCCTAGAGACCAATGCTCTAAAGCTCATTCAATCATTGATTCTTTGAAGAAATAGCTTCAAAAGACTTGGGGTGAGCTCGAAGCCTATCTTTCTGTCATCGTTGATGCCTTTCCGCGCTGTCTTCAAGCATGTATCGCAGCGAAAGAAGATCTTTTTGAAAAGAACTATCTTTTCTTGTTGGATATAAAGAATAAATTTGTTACCTAAGATTATTTTAAACAACACACAGTCCAACAACAGCAGTGATTATTAAACCAAAAATATATTCCGTTTCCGTAATTGCGCGTAGACACCCTTTAGAGTAGACATCACTGTCAATAATTCTGGCAATTTTTTGATTGAATAGCTTGAGATTTGTGGGAAAATTGCAAGATACTCAGTTTAAAAAGTTGCCGAAAGGGATTGGTATGAGGTATTGATGGCGATGTTTATGTTAGGGGGTGAGATCCGAATCAGTCGATTGATTTCTACGGAATTCTACGGAACACACAGTTCTTTCCCTTTCGAAATCAACGTTTTAAAAGTCCTTTTCATCGATGGTTGGCTTAGGCTGTTTTTAAATGAAATAGTCAAGACGAGAAGACGAAAAGAAAGGGGTAGTAAGTAAGAAAGGGATAGTAAGTAAGAAGGGGATAGTAAGTAAGAAGGGGTTAGTAAGGAAGAAAGGGATAGTAAGTAAGAAAGGGATAGTAAGTAAGAAAGGGATAGTAAGTAAGAAAGAGATAATGAGTGCCGATCAAGGCGTGAGTAATCTCTTATTTCAAATCGTTAATAATAATAAACAACTCGATTTCATAAGAGAAGTAAAAAAAAGTATCTTTCCCCGTACATCATTAAGCATTTTGTTAAGCTCAATCATTTCCAGACATAACGATTTGTGTCCAAACCGCCGAGTCTTCCGACGTTTCTCTGATATTCGATTCGTTGAGATTTTGCGACCACCTACAGGTAGGTCATAAGATGATATAAAACTATTTTTCTTTAGGATGCTCCAAAAAAATGTGCCTCTGATATCGGTTTGCTTCTAAATGATTCAGCGGTCAATTTGAATGGCACCGAAAATTATGTGAACGGACTCAGTTTGCCCAATTGCACATACGAGTGAGTGACGCGTTTTATTTTGTTTACCCTGAAAAGAATGTCAAAAAGTAAAAGGAATAACGACAATTATTTATTTGAAATTTAGCATTGGGTTAATTTTAATTGTGATTTCAGTATTCAGGGCTTTTTATTTAGATAGAGGACCAGCCGAATCTGGCTGTGAAGCTGGGTGTTTTGGAGCTAACGCATAGTTTGATCTCTCGAGTTAAAGGCCCTCCACTCCCCACCTGCGCCCCTGGTACCCTCTGAAGCATCACTGGCATCTATACTGGGACATAGTATTCAGAACTTTTTATCTAGATAGAGGACCAGCCGAAAAACCCGCTTAACAGTTTTTCTGGCTGGATGTTTTGGAGCTAACGCATAGTTTGATCTCTCGAGTTAAAGGCTTCCTCCCTTACCTCAAATTTGCATACTTCAACTCTCTGCCTGAAAACATTTAAAGCAAAAAAGTTTGGAATGGACGGGAATCAAACCCGAAACGCTTTTGAGGCGATCGTTTTGTAGACGAGACGTTAACCACCTTGACCACTTGATCCAGAGCGCGGCGAACAGACGGACGGACGGACACTTCTCTTTTATATATAGTATTTTTATATAAAAGACTATATATAAAAGAGAAGTGTCCGTCGGTCCGTTTGTAGATAATTTTGACTACTCAGGCCCTATTTCTGCTTGACCCGGTGAAAAAGATTTCTTCAAAAAGATGGGCATGGATTTTTAGTTGAAGCTGAAGTTTCAAAAAGTGTTTCAAAAAGTTCAAAATGTTTTGAGTGGCTTTACTGCTGAGATTAGTTTCCAATTGAGACTCCACAAGTCATTGAGAAATCAGAAAAGCGACTAATCGAAAGATTTCGAACAACTAATCGAACGATTTCTGTCCCCCAAAAGTCAACTGTTAAACAATCTACTTTTAGAGCTCGAACAATCCACATCAAATCCTATACCTATGAGCGATGTCGTGGACGCTTTGTTGGCAATTTGTTTATAGCTTGGAACTCAAGTTTGTGTTTTGGTAATGCTTTTTATGAAAACTCTTTTTCAGCCGACCCAACATATGTGAACACTTTCGGTTTCTCGATTCGCGTCGAACCGTGGTTTAACGGTCAGCTTTTTTTTCATTTAACAAGCTTCTCAATCATAACGAAAAGCCATGTAAAATCTTGCCTATTCAGCGTAAAATATTCAGCTTTCCCCCAAAAAACGTAAAAACCAACAAAAGCTCACTACTCTTTCCATTTTTTTAGAAGATTATGATTACCAAATCGGAATGGTGACCAAAGAGCAGGGATTAAGTTGGGAATTTCGGTACTCCGAACGTCCAATGTGGGTGCTGCTTCCGTTGGAGATCGACAAAGTCAACAAACTCACGAAGCTCACGTCGGTTAGTGTTAGGATGATGCTACATTTTTTTTAATGAGAAATTTGAACAATAAGCAATGCAGGTCGAAAAAAAATGCAACTAGAGACTACAAAGTGATTAAAACAAGTGTCCAGTAGCCACACTTCGCGATAGATTTTTTCGAATTTTTGCCAGGGTTAGAACTAGAATCTGTCACTTTCTGTTTATCAGAAACGATTCTGTCTCGATAATTTTGATCAGCCTTATGCCAGAGTTAAAATTTCGAGCCTAGAGCCGCTAGGCAGAATCGTTCCTTGGGTCCGAACCGGTTATCGGACATTTGATACGCGCCCCGGCCCTTTTGCCATCAGCAATCTAACTTTAAGCTCGATGTTGGGCTATCCAATTTAGATGTTCTTGGTACCATTGGATGCACCAAGTCTTTCTCTGTCGATTCAGACAAAAACTATTTAAATTGAACAACCCAACACCAAAATATTTAAGCTCAAAGTTAGATTTCCAATGGCAAAAGGGGCGGTATCAAATGTACCACAATCGCCCGGACCAGCTTGGCTCCACCCTTAACAAAAACCCACACTTTTCGACCCAGCCTCGGTCTATTTGTAAAAAGCTCAGTCCGGGCCGGGTGACGGGCTTTTTCCAGGCGCTCGACGCAAGCCTATTTTTGATGAAATTGTGCCGAATATTTTGGCACTTTTTACAAGAAAATCGATTTAAGTACGAGTTAAAACGCACTAAAGTCAGTCAATATTAGAGCATACTGTACCCCAAGCCTATTTAAGTTCGCATTTTGTGGTCCCTTTAAAGATTTTCGTCACAATTTCACCAAAAAGTTCTCCAAAGTTTTTTCATCACTCATCGAAGTGATCAAGTATTCTACAAATTCACTCTTCTCATAGCGGAAAGTAGGATAAGTACTAAAGTTGTGGCAACCAAGGTTATACCAAGTTCGCAAATATTATTTTATTTGTTGCTTTGTTTTTCATTGTCTAGCCCGCGCTTTAGATAAATAGTAAATTATATTCAGCGTAAAGTGTACGCAATTCAAGCCAGGAGAGCTCAACAAACAGAACTATTGGGTTGTCCAGTTATGAATGCGCGTTTTTTACTATTTTGTAAATTTCTCAAGATATCGAAATCAAGAAAAAGGTATATATGAGTATCATTCAAAAGCTAAAGATCTCCTCTACATTTTGATATAAAAAGTTTTTGAATTTGTCCAGCTTTTGGGCAAATTGACTGCACAAAAGAAGAGGTGACCAAAAAATGGAAGGGTGCCTTTGGATCAAGTTTTGGCTCCGCTCAAATTGAGTTAACCGTTTGATGTTTGGCCAATAGATATACCAATACAACTTTTTTTTAAATATAACAATTTCAGAGCATCTTTACTTTTCTTTTCTTTTCTGGGCGGTTATTTTACACCATAAAACTTGAGGAATAGCTAAGCTGGAATGGGTTTTTTTGGAAAACGACCTCTCCCTTTGTGCAGTCAATTTACCCAAAAAGTTGAATGAATTCAAAAACTTTTTTATTCCAAAATGTAGAGGAGATCTTCAGCTTTCGAATGATATATAACACTCATATACATCTGTTCGATATCTTGAGAAATTTACAAAATAGTAAAAAAGCGCATTCATAACTGGACAACCCAATACATCACGTTTTGCCAACAAACCGAACTATTGGGTTGGGGAGAATGAGTCGGCGCCGAAAATCAAAGAAATTTCTAAAACTTATAGCAGACTTTGTCAAATGATATGCGTTTGATATCCGTAGAAGGGTAACTAATTCTCTACAAAATAATATTTAAAAGAGAACTCAAACAGCGCCTCAACTCAACAAAGGATCATTTTTTCACAAAATCGATAGACTGTCATCTAGAGTAAACGGTTGGAGGGATCTTCCTGAAAATTTGGTAACTTATGTAATTGAGTGTGCTCTATCTTTTTTATATAAACACCAAAGGAGGTTTATGTGGAAGAAACTGTTCAAGCAATGAGTCGGACTTTTTGTCATTTTGATTAGCTGTGTTTGGGAATCCATAAAATCCCAAAAAAGAAAAGCTTTGTGGAATCTCTCAAAAGCCATTTTGTAAAGAAATAGTGGACCATTTTGATGAAACAAAACGTGTATTTAAAGAAGGTTTTATGGGTGCAAAAAGTTTCTTTAAATTTCGGCGCCGACTCATTCTCCCCAACCCAATACATCAAGCTTTTGATATCATCAAGTTAGATATCAAAAATCTAAAAACCCTAAAATCAACTATAGCTCACGCTAGACGCTTGTCAAAAAGCTCTCCTTTTTCCCAGCATTTTCGCAACATTTGCAGACCGACACAACCTGTGCCTACGATCTTTTTATCGGAATGCCGCCCACAGGAGATTCGGCTAACAACGAGCAAACCCTATTACGCCATTACTCGTGTGTTCTTTAAAAGTGAACGATTTCAGATTTATGAGAAGATTTCAGTGATGCTGATCCATTTGATCCAATGAGTATCGGTGGCGGTGATCAGTTCGACGACCTGCTCGACTCGTTCCTCTACAGTCTCCGTTTACCAGCCAAGTGCATGCCTCTGCTCGAGATTGCCGCATCCGGTGAAAAATGTGAGTTTTTTTGGAAGATTGGCTCAATGTTTCGAGTAGATCGTGACACGATTTCGCTTCACTTTACCGCAAAATTCAACAACTTTTTGGGCATTGCCTTCAACTAAACAATTTTTTTAAAAATCTGCTATTAAATTCTGGCCACTGCTGGTGTCATTTGCTCAAAAATTTACTTAATCTTTTTCTACGACAGTTTATAGATTTTTTTTGAAACAAAGTTTCTTGCTGGAATTTAGTACGCTAAACCAAGTGTGATTGTACAATAAAAGCGACTATTTAGTAAGAGTAAAGCTTAACTTTGAGAAAAACTCATTTCAGCAAGCGGTTCACGTGTGAATCAAACAATGTCCGCGGGAAAATGGACTTTCATCGCCACCCAAGCCTACATGTCCCCATTCGACGAAATGTCAACCAATTTTCAAGTTGATCGCGCGTTTCTTTCTGGTGAGTTTTGGGATTTTGGGAGTTTTATGTACAATGTACAACGTACAATGGTCTTTACTTCTTCCATTTAAAATCCGATACTTGAAATAGCTCAGGTTAATCACTTAAACGTGAAGCCTATAAAATTAAAATAAATATAAAAGCCTATAAAATAAAATTCATTATAGAAGATGATCCAGTCGATCTGGTGCTTGAAATAATGGAATATCATAGCGGAAATCTTGTTGTCAAATTCCTCGATCGACACGAGCAGAGCGTAATGGATGAGTGAGCAAAGAACACAACCATAACACTGCATTTGTTTTCAGCTATTGCTGGAGTCAACCAACGAATGTCCCATTCAACACGACCCTTGTCTACGGATTGCCGACTAAAGTGGCAGCTGTTGTAAGTGCAGCAGTAAACCTTGTTAGAGTAAACCTTGTTAGAGTAAACCTTGTTAGAGTAAACCTTGTTAGAGTAAACCTTGTTAGAGATTGGATTGTATGTTGGTGACAAGTAACTTTAGCTAGTCATTATTGAATTTAACAAATTTTTTGACTAAATCAACCACATGCATGTTATTGCCTCAAATCTGGTCAACAAAATGCAAGTAAAGTCAAATAATTAGTCAAATCTTGTTAGTTAACGAGACTTTTTAAAGTCCCTTAAGAAAAATGCATTTAACCCGACCTAGCCTTGATAATATCTGGGTTTTGACCTATAAATTGACGCTTTTTAGGTCACCTGGACACAAGGTGATGAAGAAGCGACGGCTGATGCGGAACCAAAAGGTTTCCTCGCAAAAATCCACGCGAAACCAGCGACAACACCAATGCCGTCAACGATTCCAGCATCAAACTGTCCAACAACGAGCAGTGGACGCACGACAAAAGCAACAACCGTAGCAGAGACCACAACAACAGAGGTCACAGCTACGACAACGATCACCCAAACAGCGACAAATCCAGTCACATCATCGGGAAATCGCTTTATTGCTGCACTAATGTTTTGTTACCTTGTCGGTGTTTTACTCAACTTTTGCAACATTTAAACAACTTTATACCCTTTTGCTATACAGTAAACATCTGTTTCGTTACTTTTTTTTTTTTTTGAATTGCCTTACTGGAATGTGGAACATAAATGTTTGAACTCAAAGTATGAGTTAAAATCTTTGATGTTAATCTTTGTTTTTTGAGACAGATTAGAGTACTTCGTGTCACCGCTTTCCTCTCATATTTGGCTCAATTTGGCTCAATGGCTTTGACGCAATTCTTTCATCAAAGATTCAATTTGTGATTTGGAAACGGTCGTTTTCAATGATAACTAGTAAATAAGCCTCACTTTGGAAGGATGATAAGACGAAAAGGAAGCTTTTCAAAGAAAAATTGAACTTTCTTGTGAAGGATTTGTCATTCTTGAAGGCATTCTTTTGAAATCTTGGTTTTTCGAGGCTTTTCGAGGCTTTTCTAAGAGAAATAGCTATATAAATTTTGAAGTTTTAGATTTTAGTCTATTTTTCAGTTTTAGTTTTCAAAGAATGCCTCAAAAACTCATTGTTCTGTTGCTCCTTGGCATCGTTTCGACTACTTTTGCCATTCGCTGTTATGAGGATGTAAACACGAAAGACAAATTCACAAGCTCGGTAAGTGAACACATTGATGGACTAATCTCGCAGGGTCAAAGTTTAAATCATTCGCAAGTGGTCCTCGATTTGACTCTGTCTCTGGCATTTCCTTCTGACAGGGGGAAATTCCAATCAAATTCATTTCCACTTTTATATTCTCTAACAATTGTTTTGGCAATTTTGGCCAATAGCTGAGAATGACGATTTCTATCTACAGATAAAATTTCAGACAAAGTTTCAGATAATATAAATGAATTGGCCAGATGGCCGACCGGTTAGGAGTCTTGTCTCTTAAGCGGAAGGTCGAGGGTTCAATCACTCTGGCAAGATAAAAATGTTTCTTTTTCCCACCAAGTGGGTTTTTTCTTTCACAACATTTGGGTAATAGGGGTAAATAGGGGTGAGAACGGCCGCAGTGCCATAAAATTGTGTGTTTAACCTTTATGTCTTATTATGTACCCTTTGTTTGTATCACATTATTGGTTTTCAATAAATGTATTTTTTTTTAAAAAATAAAATTTTAGGGGCGCGGGTCGACAGGACCCGCGGCGCGCAATGGCCAAGGGGTTAGCGCGCTCGCATCGAGTGCTAAAGGTTAAAGGTTCGAAGCCAACTCCGGTTAAACATTTTACTTTTTTACCAAAAGCTCAAATATAATGGAAATAACCTCTTTTTTAAGGTATTTAAGATATTTAGGTGACAAAAGTTAATTGCCAAACTAAAGGGGGAAAGATGCAGCGAACTTTGCTTGAAAAAGTGGAAACAGGACGTGCCGCCGAAGGATGAACGGTATGAATGGGACTGTGGTTGCTCAAGTGATCAATCGACGCCAATTGTATACACCTGTTTGGTGGGTTTTCTTGAAACAAACAAACAAGACTTCGAAAAGGCAATTTAGCGAAACTCGCAGCTTTATTTTTAGCCCATCAATTATGACTTAATTTTGAGTTGATGTCCTTAGAAAATCATAGGGACTTTAGAGTTTGAAACTTTTCAGCAATGCAGTTTTTAGGAGGAAGGAATACATCATGATGTAGCCGGCGGTCAAACATACCTTGTTCGGTGCTGTAAAGGCGATTTTTGCAACACTGACAAGTGAAACTAGTCACTTTTTATGCAATAAAGTCTCTCGACCTCATTGCAAAGCGTCAACAATTTGTTTGATTTGTTTTTTTGTTTGATTTTTCTTCATTTAAAATTTATTTAATATACAAAATGCTAGCGTGTAAAAAGGCTCACAATTAGAAATCGGAAATCGAAAATTTGAATGAAACAGGCAACTTAAGTACTCATTAGTTTAAAAGCTACAGAATAAATGTAATTTGAAAAATGTTCTTAAATTCTATCGAACTGATTAAAGAGTACGAATCACATTGTTTAGAGATGAAAGCTTTGACGATTAAAAGGGAAAAGACTGATTGGAAATGGAAAAGATTAAAGATAAATGGAAAGGATTTGAAAAGCGAATTGGATTTTAAAGTTTTAAAGTTTTAAAGTTTTAAAAGATAAAATATTTGGCGCGGTGGCTACTTTGCGCTAAATTTTTTGCGCAACTAGGTCTTTTGCGCAACTCGCCATAACTTTCTTCTAAGTCGGCCAATCTTTATCATCTTGGTGTCATTTTGTAGATCTCAATAAGTGCAACAAAATGTAGCCAAAATCACAAAGATTGGCCCATTTAGAAGAAAGTTATGGCGAATTGCGCAAATGATCCAGTTGCGCAAAAGACCTAGTTGCGCAAATGAGCCAGTTGCGCCTTGGTAGCCTTTAATAGCGCAAAGTAGCCACCCCCAATATTTGGATTGCAAAACTGGTAATGCATTTCCTAAAAGGCATCTAAACTACAAAAACTACTGTAATCAAATCGCCAATTTGCCTTCGATTAGCTCAATTTGGTACTGAACCTTGCGAAAATCGGGCTTTTTGAATGAAAACTGATTTGGTTTTCAAATAGGTGCCTTTTATCAGGTTGATGCATAAGTCTTTTCGTTTTTTTCGTACTTCTGTTAAAAAGTAACAAATTCACGAATTAATCTATAGTTTGCTCTATAAAAAAAGTGTTTTTTTGTTCAATTTGCATCTTTTTAAATGAATTTCGGTTGACTTTCAAGGCAAATTCGAGAGTGAAAAACGCCTTTTTCGTAAAAATCTATAAAAAACTCTACGGAAAAATTGGCTGAATGAATTTCTCTGAAATTTTGGCGAAATATCAAACGTTTTTTTTCTCTATCTTTTATCTATTGACACGAAGATAGGTTTTCTTTAGCTAAGGTGTCTAAACCGCATCATCGAGTTAGCCCTTTTTGACTACCCGACTTCATACTCTCAAGAAAATCCAGGCATTCAATATTTTTAAACCCGTTTTAATGTTATTTTGCAGAAAAATAATTGGTTTTTCTAATGAAATCAACCGTAGTTTAATTGGTGCATTTGTTGGCTTGAAACGGCAGACGAAAAGGAACAAAAACACTTATGCATCAACCTAATAACTTGTGCGTTCTCCGTTTCAAACCCGCCAATTTTTAGCCCATTTTTTTTACACTTATGCATCAACCTAATAGATGAAATAATCAAAAAACTAGGCTGCGATCAGCGTTAGATCTATTGCTGAATAACGCTAATGCTAATGCTAACGGTAAACTATAGCCTAATGCCTTATTGGGCTGTAGTTTACCGTAAACAGCAGGCGTCTGGTGCATTGGAAAGTTTAGTAGTTCATTGTGATGTTTTTGCTGATATGCATTACTTATTTTCATTGGTACTGAAAAATTATCAGCTGGTATCAGCTTGAAATTTAAAAAAAGCCTCTTTAATTAGTATTCAGTGCACCAGTTCTGATGTTTACGGTTTCTGACGTCTTTTTGTCAAACCGAGTCACTTAAAGTCAGCTTATTAGCTTGTGGGTCAGTCAAAAGATTCACAAATTCAATTGGACTTTCAATTGGACACCAATTGAAAGTCGAAAAGTTGAAATAAATGAAAAGATTGAAGTGAAAATCAAAGTTTACCGGGTATTTCGATAGTGATATATCAAAAAGAAATAAATTAGAACCAAGGATAGCTGAAGATTTTTTAAAAACAAAGCACTTTTTCTACCACCAGCGGAAGAATGGGTTTCTCGTTTGAACTTTTTGCTGATATGTGTCATTCCAGGATTTTTGCTGTTGCGGATGATCGGGTGATTCGACTTCGCTTGTTGCGGCTGTGTCCAGCATTGATGGAGCTGAAGATGTGCCACGAGATGGACCGGCTGGGAGAACGGTGGTATCGGCTGGAAATTTCGGTTTTGAACTAGACTTGTAACGAAAAAATCTGTCGGTCCTTCTTGCCGGTCCATCTCGTGGCAATTTAAGGCTTTTCGTGTTTTTCTCAGCACCAACCCATCAATTTCGTCCATTTTAACTATCATCCGATGCAGAATAGAATTGCGCGTCGAATGATACCAAAATCAACTCAAAATGTAATATCCACAGAAAGTTATGAGGCAAAAGACTAAGTCCGCCCAGAATAGGCGGGGTTTAGGTTTTTTGCCAACAACTTTGCGTGGTTATTATATTTTAAGTTGGGTTTTGGTATCGTTCAATGCGCAATTTTATTTTGCATCTAATGGTAGTTAAAATAGACAAAATTGATGGGTTGGTGCTGAGAAAAACGTGAAAAACCTTCAATTGCCCGGTAAAAAGGACTGATAGATATTTTCGTTTATTTTGAATTATGGTTAAGCTGACGAGGAGAGCTATGAGAATCGAAGAGCTATGAAAAGACTATGAGAAGCTGAGAAGCATTAAACTGTGCAATTTAGGTAGCTATTTGCTAGGTAAACGAAAGAATTGAATAGGAGGAGATGCGCAGTTACCTTAGTTAGTTCTTTTTGTCGCACTGAACTGATTTGTGAGTGTTTTTTATTGGTTTATTGTTCATTTACTAGTCAAATCAAATATTTTGAAAGCTTTTTGTTCCTTTTTCAGTAGAACCTATTCTTTCTTAACATTAAAGTGACAAAATGGTTGATATTCGGTGAATCAGTTTCTATTACTCAAGTGAGCTTTGATTGACTCATTTGTACACTTACAATTAGTACAATTAGTACTATGAAAGCTTTTCAACTCACTCTCGTAATCCGAGGGCATTTGCCGTCTCGTTTTGAGCAACTGCCTCTTCTTTTTCTTCTTCAACTTCACCTCGACCATGTATTGAGCGGGCATCTAGATTAGATAACAATTTTATCGATATCAATGCGCCAAGATTAAAAAGAAGCCTAGAAATTGTTCATACACTGACCATCACAAGTTGGAAAGGACTTTTTGCAGTTCGGAGCGCTTCTCGGAGATTGAAAATTTGACCACGCATCACGCTCAGCTGCTTCTCGAAATTCCTCTTATCGAATCCTTTATCTTTCTGAAAATTCCCTATTCAAATTGCTAGCTTATTTCATTATACTTTAAACAATAGTTTAAGTTCCTCTCCAAGCGATCTCACAAAGTCGATATCGTCCAATTGTGGGAGGATTAAATCGACGATTTCTTGAGAGAAAGTCTGACGAGCACAGGGGAGGAATGCCCAGCCGAATGGATCTAAAAGAAATTCGATGTGAAAAGTATAAAACTCAGTACTAGACCTAGACTTATTTATGCTTTATAAATAAACAAATTCGATGAGAGCAATCAAAATGTAAGCTTTATGTAATTGTAAGCTGTAAGCCTAAGTCGAAGCCTGAGCCTAAGCCTGAGCCTAAGCCTGAGCCTAAGCCTGAGCCTAAGCCTGAGCCTAAGCCTGGGCCTGAGCCTAAGCCTAAGTCTAAGCCTGAGCCTAAGCCTGGGCCTGAGCCTAAGCCTAAGTCTAAGCCTAAGCCTGAGCCTAAGCCTGAGCCTGAGCCTGAGCCTGAGCCTAAGTCTAAGCCTAAGCCTAAGCCTAAGCCTGGGCCTGAGCCTGAGCCTGATCCTGAGCTTTATCAATCAATTTCTGATTTCCGAGACTTACAAGCTCTCCACTCGTCCGGATGTTTGAATGGGAAAGCCAAGCCGTTATCGATAGCAGCGAGCTTTACCTAAATTTATAAAGCTTTTACTTCCTCCAGAAAATGTTTTAAGACTTGTATTGCACATGAATAATAACAAAAACTTCTAGAGAAATTTTCTGTAAGATGGATGCAAGATGGAGACAAAATGGATGACACTTTAGACTCTACAGAGTGGCGCACACTTATGGAAACTCGGTTTTTCGCCTGTAACTCAATGCTCAATTATCCGATTCCTCAAATTTCATATTTAGATGAAATTTCAAGTTCATTTCTGCCTTCAATTTCAATTTTTAGTTCAAAAACACAGCGTTACGCTTTTTATAATACTTCGAAGTTCAAAGGTGCCAACTCTCTCGGCAGAATCGTCGTTTTAGTGGTTGGCACCTTTGAACTTCGAAGTATTATAAAAAGCGTAACGCTGTGTTTGTGAACTAAAAATTGAAATCGACAGCAGGAATGAACTTGAAATTTCATATAAATATGAAATTAGAGGAATCAGATAATTGAGGATTGAGTTATAGTCGAAAAACGGAGTTTTCAAAATTGTGCGCCGCCCTGTGTAACCATTCAAACATCATACGTTTCAAAGTTTAAATCTGAAATGAATAAAGCTTTAATAATAATATTCCACGAGGGCATTATTTGCACAAACAAAGTTTTCAACTAAAATCTTCAGTTACCTTTGGCACTGTAACATCAGCCCATTCGACTTCGGCCGGTTGTGGACGAGAGTCCTCGGCTCGTTTCTCGGTTAGTACTGAAATATGATTTTGTGGATTTTCGATGTTCCGCTGAATTCTATAATGTGCCCCAGAAGTCTTTGTCGGCATTACGGTAACGGGCAGTTTATAAAGGGGAGAATTTTCGAGAAAAATTTCATTCTGGTTTGATTGTTAGCTTACAGTTTATCAAGTACAGTCGACTCTCGATACAACGATTCTGTCGGAACCGCGAAATGGAATCTTTAAATCGAAACTCGTTATATAAAAGTGGAAAACAAGGCTTTTAACCCAAATTGTTATATCGAGGGCACAATAGGAAGACGCAGCGCACCTACGAAGTACGGATATGCGCCA